TGCCATGGAGACTGACTCAGGCTGGTGCTGCACACCGCTCCCAATATGTTTCACTTGCAGCATCGCTGGATTCATTTTCTTTAAAGGAGGATGCTAAAAGATCTCATACAGTGGAGCTGCACATGGTCGGTACTGTATGATGTAGACTATATATACACACATTAAAAAATAGATACTACTTGCACAGACATTATAAATCTTCAGGGCATAGAGCCTTGAGACTTACTGTACATCTCTACCATTTATTAAAGTGAACCAAAACTTGCACATTCTTTAGGATGAAGGGTACAAATACAACTGTGGATAAACAACACTGAATGAGTTTGGGCGTGGAAGCATTACTTGTTACATAGAATCTGAGTTACAAGATTAATAATATAACACATAACAATAACATGAGACATGAATCATAATCAAGTGAAAGATGAGTCAGTTTCCCTCGATAAATCACTGCTACAGCTTAAAGGAATGACAGAAGATGGGTGATCCATGTCGATCGATATCCAGTTCAGGCTTGTGAGGAAGGTGGCTGGGGACACTGTGAGGGAGCAAGGAGGGGAGTGGAGGGTCAGGCCTTTATTTACACAGCTCATGGATGAATCAGTCACGCACTTATTCCACTCATGCAGTGCCTCAGTATTGGGGCTAAAGGTTGCATATCATATTATTCATGACATGGAATTTTCTTAAAGCAAGAAAAATATCCAACCAGGCAAAAACAGAAACAAATTATTGGTCTGTTAACAGGTCTAGCTGTCACAGACATGATGGCCATGTACTGGATTACAATAGGGGTGAAGCTGGAGAACAGCACTGCAAGAACGATTTCAAAGCCAAGTCGGTAACTAAAAAACTCATGAAACTAAAGGGAACGTCGCTGATAACGTCCCTTCATTGTGACAGTTTAAGGATTGCTTGGGGAAAAAAAAGCTACTGAGTAATTTCAAATCTTTATAACTTCCAAAATACAAAACTGTATGATGCGTGGAACTATAGAATTACCTTTCCATAGGGAAAAAATGATCTTACAAAAATGATTTTGTAACACTGTAACACCATCCCTAATTCACTTAAACGGGCGCCATAGCCAGCTGGAAGCTGGAATTGTATAAACGACGAAAACCCAGCTCACAATTTCACGTTCAGCAGAAGCTTACAGCACAGTATAGAAGAAAGTCAGATACAGAACTCACATAGGTGCTCAATTCAGGGGCCAGCATCACACGAACCTCATTGCATTTCCAAGTTCAGATGCATTCAGATTTGAACGCTCAAGCCCAGTTTTCATTAATTATGTAGTCAAGGCCAGGTTTATTCTAAAAAGTGAAGACATGCAAATAGACTATTTACAGTGCATATGGCTGCTAGTTCAGATCATCCCCATTCAAATAATTATCCTCTTCTAGCAAAAAGAAATATAATATTCACAGCCAAATTAAACAGTTCCCATGCATCTGAAACTGAAAAGAAAATGCATCTGAAATGTACTGTTCCATGTTGCCAGCTAGGAAAGGTTTTCTATTTGTTTGGTATCTCCTCAAGACCTGGATCAAAGTGAGTTCTGCAGCTGACCCGAGGAAGAGAGAGACGTCTAGGAGTGAAGGAGTTAAGAACACGGTCTGGTCAAAACTATAAGAGATTTGTGTGTCACGCTCTTTCAAACTCTTAGATCACCCAGTTCTTCCACAAATTAAAATGTCAAACTTTTGGTTTATAAAAACACTTATATTAAAAACATCATTAAAGTCAAACAAAAGTACATTATTTCTCAAATTCATCCATAATGATTTAAAAATGTCTGTAATGGTTTTTAAGATCCAATATCCTAATAAAGACCTAGAATTATGAAGAGTGAAACTGCAGAGGAGATAAGAGATTTCCCAAGGCTACTATATTTCCATTTTAACTTGGGGCACAGAGGCATCTCTCAGGAGGAAGAAGTGCAAATTAACAGAGGAGAATTCACATGCGTCGTAATGCTGTCTGCCTACTTGAGAACCCTTTGCTTGTCGGTTTCATTTAGGTTGATCTGATTTAGCACAATAATTTTGCTACTTGTATACCTATGCTCTTAGAATTTGCCATACAGATGTCATCAAACCAACAGATAATACAGTATGTTAAGACAGTTTCAAATGTTTTATACAAAAGTGCTTAAATAGTTCCATCTATTTTCCGAAGCATCCTCAGGGAAAAAAAAGTTTTTTGACATTTTTATAAATGGTCACACCATTGCCCTGTCTTACATTTTAATCTATGATCAATCCCAAATACTCAATCACTGGAAACCTCTACCTTCTGACCATTTACTAACATGGACTGGAATATTTTCAAAACATTTAACCCCATAGAGAACTCATCTCCACTCAATACAATGCTTTAGAATTGGCAAATATAGGCAATTCGTACAGTTCCTTAATAAGCTCACAAAGGCTGTCATCAGCATAGTTTTCTTAAATATCTGTTTTCTCTTACAATCATTAGTGTACTACATGTACAGCAAAGAAGACGAGATGTACCCCTGTTGTGATCCAACAGAAGTCCAATGTACATTAGATAACCATTTCCCCACTTGGAACTGTTACTTACATAAGTCTAAAACCCATCTCAGCTGTCATTTACACTGAAATACTTTGAGAATTTCTGTGCCAGTAAGAGCACAGAGACAAGTTAAGAGCAAAGACAAAACTCAACTCATACAATTATAACAAATGATTTTTTTTCTTGGTCAAGATATTGACTAAGCATGTTTAACGAGGTCCCTAGACACAAACAGCAGGAGATCAGTAAGGTACCGTGTCTTTTATAAAATGTCGCTTCACTGTTCTCCCCAGAGAATCCCTCACAGGGAGAGAAGCAAGAGTCGCTGGCCAGTAGCACAGGGGTTTCTTTCACAGAGAAGGGATGATGCGTCATTGTATGCCGTTACAAGTGTGAGGAGAAAACACACCTCAGAAAGGAAAATTAAAGTAACGGTTTACAAAAGTATAATAAAAAAAAAATAGCTTTAAAACGGTGTTGGAAATCCACAGGAGCATCATGTCCTGATCTCAGCAACAAGCTGAGAGGTTTCATCAGAGGACATACATCCCACCACAAACAGCTCAAAACCATAGTGTGAGGCTCTTGAACAGGTAACCATTGTAAAAGAACGCCATTGTTCAACCGATGAAGAAAACACTACTTTCTCCATCTCAACTGCTGTGTATGGGCTGCCGGTCCATAATGGCTTCTACACATCACCCAAGAGGGGCTTCGTTTCAGTGGATGAATCGTGTCACTGAGTATGTAAAACTTCCTGAAATCCTTTGAGGTGAAAAGTGCGACACTTCTTGCATTGACAGGTATTAACATTATAACTGCAGGGTTAAAGAAAGGATTATATTAATCAGCACCATCAGGGTTTTTCAAACAGCATGCAGAGATTTGTCGGGCTGGGGGAAAATGATTAACAGACTTCACATTGTCAACATTTCCAGTGTGACAGCCCACGGGACTTTGATAAGATTTCTTTCTACTCCATTTGCAATTTTGAAAAGAGGGTGGGATCTAAAACATTGTTGCCATTGGAACACAAATGTTGTAGCAACCATCCTTCAGCCATTGTTCGCAAAAAAACACAGGCCTTCACCAGGCAACCAAAGAATTTAATCTTTTGATTCCTGAAATAGATCAGGACTCTACTAACTTCTGTGCAGGGCACGTACTGGTCCCCCTGCTCATTTTTTTCCCCAATTATTATAACTTTTACTATTTGCTTTTTTTATCTGGAGTTCAAGCTTGCATAAGGAAGAATTTAAACAAGCGTTTTGTTAAAAGGGAGGTAAAGAGTCCAACATTAGCTTGTTTTCATTGATCTGTACATGACACATAAAACTAATGTATTGTAAAAATTGAGAGTTTGTTGTAATTAGCTGTGTAACGGAAAACGTCCTATATAATCCATTTCATCTATCTGCATAAAGAAATCCCCAGTACCAACAGAGGAGAGAGGGTTACAAAAAATTACAGCAGCCTGGGACCCTGTGTGCTCATCCTTAACCTTTGTTGTTGTTGCTAACCTTTTGTTCCTCATCAATTAAAATGGACTGCTTATAGCTGCAACAAATTCACAATGTTTTATAGAAGGGGTGCTGATATGTTGTTGAACAGACATGACGGACAGCAGGTATGTTCACCGGGCTGATGAACACTCGCCGTCAGCGGGGCAGCGTGTCTGCTGGTCAAGCCACACGCCTGCAGTGTGTTCGCCCCAGCAGGAGGCATCCAAACCACTGCACAGGACCGAACAAGACGGCACAGTCTGGCCCCAGTCCTCCCGAGACCCTCCAACAACTGCACTAGCACCGTCACCAAGGTGGCAGAGGGCGCTTTTAACATGCTTCTTCACACAATACAGTACCCTTGAAAAAAATCCCAGTCGGGAGTATTAATAACCACGCAGAGAGGAAGGGAGGCCACCGGATAAACAATGAACACAAGTGTCTCACCGGGCAGCCGAGATCTTTCTCACTCTCGTTTCGTTACAAAGGGCCTTGATCTTGGCACAAGGACAGAAACCTTCGATATCTGTGTTTATAGCTTACTGTCGATTTATGCATCCAAACGCGTGCCATTTCCACAAGAAGTATCGCACACGTTCTGAATGGTGAGGGATTCACTCGCACCAAAAACATGGTAAAACATTTTATGTAGTATATATATATAAAAAAACAACAAAAACTGAGAATTTTAGTTGACACCATTCCAGATCCTAAAAATAATAAACCATATTGACACAAAACCCTCGAAATCAGAGGTTTATTTTACTTACAATCGCACAATATTGATAACACATTCCAAAGACATGGCCGAGAACTTTGGCAACCCTACTTCGGATCCCGACTCCAAAGAAAAAGTGAAACCCAGGATCTAATAACTGGCTGAAAACACAATGTACTGGATTGCTCTCTGAAACCACTTGGCAGAACAGAGTCTGAGAAGGAAAAGAGTGAACTTACGGAAATACTTTAACGTCTCCTCTATTTGTTCAGTGGTGAGGTCGATATTGGCGTCGGGGGAAATGAGGGGGGTGTGGAGCCAGTCGTCGTGGTCATACCCGTATATGGTATCAGCTCTTAACTTGTAGTGGGGCAGCTGCTCTTCCAGTAGACTGATGATTTCGACTTCTGGAAGATCCGTACTATTACACACATCTGCAGGTACAAGCACAGGGCACAAAAGATTCGTTATGATTACAGACAAAGAAAGAAAATAAAACTGTTCCACCACGTTCTTGTGAGAGTGGGCACACCAACACTACAGTGAAAGAATGACATGGTTTGAAGACCCTATTACCAGGAAATGCATCGCTTTGGAGGATTGGATTCTACACAAGGAAACGTGACACTAAACACAGAGATTTCAGTAACTGCATCAGTTCATTCAGTTTCGGCAGTAACAGAACACGAGGAACAGGAAAACAAAAATTAAACGTCTTCCATCCACCCATCATCAGAAACCTGCTCATTCTTGGGAAGGGTTATGGCCACTTGGAGCCTATCCTGGAAGCACAGACAAGACAGGACACTAGACTATCACGGGGCGCGCACACAGGCGGGGAAAATTCAGAAAAGCCAACTATCCTAACCAGCATGCCTCTGGAAGGCAGGAGGAACCCAGAGCAGCTGGAGAACACTCCAACAGAAATGGCGGGGGGTGGGTTCTGGATCAAACCCAGGACCAAAGAGATGTGAGGCACCAGCACTAACCTCCATTTTGCAAGGCAGGACTACACCCTGGACAGGACAGGACGCCGGGAGCCTTTCACTGCTCATCTGAACCCTACCCTTCTTATTCAAACAAGAAATCACTCATCATACAATGATGGAAACTTCTCTCTCTAAAGCTAGTTATTTACACATAGAGCAGCACTTCAGCTAAATAATAACCCTGAAGGCTCAATGTAAATCTATTACATTTAACCACATAAGTTCATTAATACAAGAAATTCCAGCAATTCAAGTGAGAAACTGAGAAACTTCTACTAGACTCTCAGAAAAGTGTGCTTCAATAGAATATGTGATATTGGTGTTGAAAATACATAGAAGAGATTAATTTTACATATGCCTCTTTATACACTGGTCATGAAGCACGTGTGTGACAGAATATTTAAAACCAAAGAAGGGAAGGAAAGAAATGTGAGGCACAGCCACTGAGAATATTTCAATACAGGAGATTAAAATTAGTCACAGAAAACCTTGTTCATTAACAGAATCTAGTTCACATTTTGTTCACATACGCTGCGCAGAAGTGCAATGCCCTCTACAATGCATTCTGGGTACTAGAAACTGCCTTCTTTGCTGGATGCTCATGAGACCACTTTTGGTAATACAAAAACTGCTTTGTGCATTTGTTCACATTGCTGTAACAGAATAACGCCAATTTTGCTCAATTAAAAAACACAGGATGAAATGAAAAATTAGATCTATTCAATGAAATAAATGCCACAGTCTACAATTACATCTTATAATAGTACAGTATTCAGGAGCACATAAGTCTTTCATTAGCATTTACTGATCGTATTGTATGTAATCTTAGTATGTAGTATGTAGTTTACTAATGCTAATATGCGGCCACAAGACAAAGCATGTCTTATGTCCTTGTGTGGTACGAACTCAGTTAAGAAGTCAAAAAGGATGTGGAAATCCAGTGTCTGCTCAGTTAAGATGTAACCTGACATTAAGGCCCACAATGAATAAAGCACTGATCCACTTGCCGGTCACAGGTTAGAGATCCATTAATTTATGCTGAAGTTCCCTTGCCCTGAAAGCTAGGAGCTAACAGCTGCCATAAAGTACTGTACTGGGTCAGCTAGTTTCATTAGGTAGGGCCTCGAGTTCCCATTTAATCCAGGAGTGACAGGAATACAAAGTCCCTTTCACAGAAAAATGTGAAAAAATACCAGGAAACATTCTTTCAGTTTCATATTTATATTATGATTCTGAGATGCCAGAGATAAATGAAAACATAAATATTTTCCTGCCCTCCTTGTGTGTAGGCTTATCCTGTGATAAAGCTGTGGGCACGCACAGGGCATGACAGGACCCACTCCCTACATTTGACACGTGAAAAGCAGGACCACAAACATCGGGAAGAAAAGTAAAAACCAAGTTGTCATGGAGACAAGGAGAAACGGCTGTACCCTTGGCAACTGCAAGCAACAGCCCCAAACAGATTCTAAATTGCATTTTTCCTCTCTCATCAGATCATTTTACATTTTTTATTATGATGTGTTGCATTTCCAAAACACTGAGATTTGGGTTTATTTTCCATAAAAATGAAAATCCCAGAATCTAAAATGAGACGGAAAAACTCATAAACCACATCTGGATTTGCCAAAGGGTAGGTTACTGATTAATAAATGAATATCTGAAAGTCAGGAGCCTCCAGCATGGCCTGGCCAGTCACTCCGCTCCGACAATGGTTTCTCAGGTCAGGCTTGCAGCCAGACGCACAGCTGCTGAGGAGGGATCATCTGAAAAGCAGCGTGTGCAGCGAACGGGCTCAGGCTGGCGCTGTGGGCAGCTGGGTTTATAAAAGCACTTGGCCTGAATCAGGCCTCCAATGCCTTCTGTCCTTAAAGCTGCAGGTGCACTGTAAGCCCACGGATCACAGCACTTCTGAAATGTGTCAATTTAAACAACGAAATCCTGGAATTCTAGCTTGAGTTTCACTGCACACTTTCGTATGCTCCTGCGGTTTTTATCCCCATCTTCTCTGTAGGTGAGACAGGGCCACATCTTGAGAACAAATCCTGAATAAAATGCTGTCACTACCCATAGTTTAAACTGTCCGTGTTGGTTATTGGCTATTTTGGGATTTTACTGTATAAGGCTTTATAAGGCAGGTCAACTTCTGACCTGCCTTATAAAGGTCCTATCATAATGTCCCTCATCACTTTTTTACTCCAGCGTCGTTTCTCAAACTTAAAGTCTCAAACACCGGCATACTAACAGGCTCTCTAAAAACTTTCTTTTTAGTACTGAGACAATTCATTCCTAGAACAAACGTTATTTGATAACCATCTCCAAACTTTCAAGAAACCAACTGTTCTACATAACTGAAAGAAAACAAAAAAGCAAAACAGTTTATTAGTGTTTAGGTTTGTGCTTCAAACACTAAAGCACACTTCCATTCCTCCAAGTCACTCCGTTGGCTTGCGTTTTAACTCCTAAACAGCGTTATTTCCCTTTTTTAGGTACTGTTTCTTTAACAACACACTGAATTGCATTCATTCTGGGAGTAAAGCAAATGTCATTTGTATGACCTTCCAGCAAAAAGAAAAACAGAGAACCGAATGAAAATGTTTGTCAACCCTCTTACAACTCAATCAGTAAACTACAGTCCAAACAGCAAAACCATCTACTGAACCCACTGTACTCACTCATGGTGCTGAAGCCCCCTTTTCCAGCCTTGTCTTTCCAGGAGTTACATTTTCCAGTGTTAGCAAAGGGCAGACAGCACAGGGACAGTGAGGCAACTCTGTCCTGCAATGTCTGGGAGCAGCCAGGATCACATGGGCTGTGAGTGTCCCGACTAAACATAGCTTCATTAATGTCACGCCAGTAACCAGCACAGCTAACAAACCCGGTCTGCACTCCAAACACACAGAGAGAAGTGCGGCACAAACTAAAATCTCACACACTTTTATTTAGATGCTTGCTGTATAGTATGACTGATGGATTCACTGCACATAAAGGGTTTAAACTGATATTCTGAAACGCTATTTCAATAGAAGTGACTGTCACTGGAGATATCTAGAGACTACAGTAATGGGCTGGCTCTAAACAGAAAGAAAAAAGTTCAAACTTGTAGTGTGATCTCTGGTAGTTTTAGTGTGTAAAAAGGTGATCGGCTGCTTATTAGCAAAGAAGAGGAAAACGCTGGTTTCAGTCTGACTGGTTTTGCCAATTCTTCACTGGCTAGGAGGGAAAAGGAATGGCATTAGTGCTGCTGTGTACCTAATCCATCTTGTCCCAGTTAAAGGGAGATGTAATGGATTCTTAATCATCTTAATCACAGATGCTCATTCACTAAATATTGTCTGCCTGTTACCACCTGTAGTATGCCTGTAGTATTCAATCTGAAAAAGTATAAAAATGAAAAACAAGTTATTTAGATTTGATATGCTGCCGCCTGTACTTGACTCCTATCAGTAATTCCCCTTCTATAACCAAGATATGTTACACAAAAAAACAAGTAGGGGGAAATCCAAGAGATATCTCCTATTATTGCAGCATGGATATGACTCAACCTTCCCTTCCTGTCCTGCCAGGGAAAAACTGACCCATACAGAAAGTGCAGAACATGAGCAAATTCTGGTCAATCCATTCGAATGCCTAGGCTAAGTGACAAAGAGCGCAGAGTCATTCAGGAGACCACTGTTGTTGCTGCAGGGGTACTATAGCAACACCAACCAGCTAGATAGTGCTGAACTGGCAATCGGTGAAACAGCAAAAAGCTTAGATGAAAGCCTAGGCAAGGCTTGCTTTGGTAGATACAAACAAGAAGACAACTAAGAAGCACATGCGTGCTGGAAAAAGCATTTGGAAAAGAAAAAAAACATAAGGAAACAGGAACAGATTCCACATCTAATCTAATTTTAGAAACACTACATGAAACTGCTGGTAAAATAAAAAAAAACATTTTTTAAAGTTTTATCAAAAGCTGAACGTAAATGTTTAAACAATGAGAAATATTTTTCTTACCCGAGAAAAATTGATAAATTTTTTAACTAAGCAAATACACCTCTGTCTGGTAAGATACGTCATTAAAATCCCAAGTACTGAGCCTTGCTTTGGTAGCTTTGGTTTTCACCACATTGATTGATCAGATTCAATTTAATTCCATCAAATAATCAATCTCCTATCTGGTGGCAAAAAAATCACAGCTGAAGTCTCCACTGGAAGTGAAAGTGACGCATATTGAAAATTCTGTTGTGTCTGTTCCACTAATATGCAGAGACCAGCGTCTCAGAGCTGGGACTGTGAAATAACATCATAGTTTTACCTACATCTATGTCTCCCCTGCTTCACTGGACTGACACAGCCAGCATCCAAGAGCCATGCTGTTATTCATGAGGTTATAGCTGGTCATACTGTATGTGCCATCTCACCTTATCTTTATTTCTCCGGATTTGCAGTCTGTCTGTTCAACTCCTTACTCATAGTGCAAAGATGAGAACTTGCCGTTATCTTTAACAGGTGTGTGTGGTTTGGGTTGCTTGTTCCATTGCATTTTGGTTTTAGTCTTTTGACCTGTGCCTATTTTCATCAGCAGACCGTTCTGTCATACAGCCCTTAGCCTACATGTTCCTGCAAATTCAACAGATACTCAACAGATATTCAACGTTACTGAAGTCTGGGGATTAGAAACTAGTCATTGATGCAACCTGTTACACATCTGCACTTCTTACAGATAATGAGATTCTCAAGTTGTACCAAAACACTATAAAGTCTCAAGAAACTTTATGCTCATCTTTTACAAAAGGTCCCTTACACTCCTACCACACAAAGTCATATTTATGCATGCTGAACCCCATCCTTCAGCAGCAGCATGTGTTGTTTACAATGAGCATTTTCTTTTTCATCTTGAATACAGCAATCATCTTCGGCCTTTTTAGGAACACAAAGACATGCAGCATCTGTGGGCATTATAGCAAGAAAGTCAAAGGCCAGAGCTGTGGGCTGATTCAAAGGGCAGTCTTGTGTACCTAGAGGAGCCGAAGGGGAGAAACACAAACACAGCTCATTTCTAGCTTTAGCTAAAAGGCTGTAGTTTTTTCAACCTACAGTCCTCACATGAATTTCTGAAAAAGAACTTCAAATATACGAAACTGATTTTAATCACTTCTTAACAACACGCTAAATAATGTACAGTATGCTTTCAAATGTTAATCATAAAAACCGCGAGTAGGAGCAGCCAAATCACCATGTGCATAAGTTTAACATTTTTCCATTTTATACATAACTATTTTGTAAATGTAGGAATAAAAGACATTTTCAAATGCTACAAAAACAGCAAGTAATCACATGCTTGTTCAGAGGTTAAATTCCCTCTTGAGATCTACAAAATTCTGAAAGACTGTTAAAAAGCAATAAAATACTGAAAAACGTAATAAGAAGCAGATTGATTTTTCTGGCACCTTGCAACAAACAAACAAAAAGCTCACAATAAACTGTTTATAGGAACATTTTCAAAACCTTTTCAACGAAAGCATTTTGCCTGTGATCAGAATCCTTACGTAATAGGGTCTGAAGCCACAAAGCTGTGTAACTCAAGGTTACGTCCATCTAAAAATGACAGAACTTTAACAGACACTTCAAGGTACAGCAGAGACACTATAGTCTTTTGTGTTCCTAAAACAGCTGTTTTTTAAAAAGGTAAAGCTTACCTGAAACAGTCAAGCAATTTTCAGCTGTTTGTTTTTTGACAGCTGTTGTACATGTTGCCACAGAGGACAAAGTCTGACACAATGTTCATTAAATGAATTGTGTGTCAAGCTCATGATGTGGCAGGGATTAATATTTAACACCGCATGTAAAAACCATATAGAAATACAATTAACAAGCTTCTAGAAATATGTTCAACCAATTTCATATCTTGCTCAGGTTTGTGTATAGCTTTTATATTAACCTGCTGATAGCGTATCTGAAAAAAAAAACATGTAACACTATTCCTTAAAGCTCAGTTACGTATATCTGTGTGGTATCTTTTATTGAGTACTGACAAATACATGTTGTTAAAATACTAATATTCTGCACTGTTCCAAAGTGAGTGGAAAGATGAGCTTTTTAATAGAGACAAAATAGATCTAAAACAAACTTAACATACTGTACAATACACGTGATCTCTACTCACCTCCCCCCCACCAAAACAATGAGGGTTATTTAAAAGGGTGGGACGTGTAATTTGGAAAAGTGTACTTAAAAAGATTATACTGACAAGCTCTCTAGCATCTTACAGGACAGATCCCTTTGACTTCAATGCCCAGAATTTTGAAAAGTCTATGCAAAACAGACCTTCTTAGATTACTTCTTTGTCTAGAAATTCCAAAGAGTGTAGAAATCGAAGAGACATCAGAAAGATGACAGGGTAGCAGCAAAGATCAATCTGAACTCCTGACTTAATTCCTTATGTTGGTGCCATTTATGGGCTTCAAAGTTTTAGGGCATCTGTGTAGCAGAAATCCTGGATGCACCCAAAAGCTTGTAGTCATGTACTCACTATCTGCTATGATTTTAAATTCTGTACCTTATTCTACAATTTACTGACAAAAACTAGAGAGAATGCGACTATAGTTTACATCGGAGTAACACACAGAAACTTGTGTGGTGAGACCAAGGCAAAATGACTAACCTTTGTAATGAATAACAATACAGGAAATCTCATTTTTCTATTGATTAAAACTTGAAGAAAGACTATCGGGGAAAAAAATTACATTTATTGGATAACTACAGCTGGTACGTACCTACAGTACAGTATGCATACAGTTTAACTGTACTGTACGTGATGTTTGATTTCACAGCCACAAGGTGGTGTAATATCTCCATGTTGACACTGTTGCTCATGAACAGGATTAGGGACATCATGAAGGTGAAACACCAAGCAGACACTACATGAAAAGATTTGAGTCATTCAATAAGGACGGTGTGAAAATCAGAATGAATTTCCAAAGTCATCCAGATTGCAAGAAAAGATGCTGGACAGCCCTAAGGAAAATCAGGCTAGTGCACCAGATATATCCCACAGAAATTCTCTCATAATCAAAACAGCTCGCAGCACGACTTGACTGAGCACCGAGCGGACAGCTCTCGGAGAAAGGGCCAATCAACTGAACGAAAAGCCTTTCCTTCCTCTAAGGCAAAGGCTGAACACAGGCGGACAAATGAATCACTTTGCTTATGGCTGCACACATCCTGACCACGCTGAGCATTTAAAAACTGTTCTTTTTCCCTCCATTTAAAAAAACAATCTGAATGCAAGATGATTATAGTGATGTAATATTTCTAAAGAAGATTCATATTTAGTTTTAAACCATCAAAACTGCAGCCAGCAAAAAAAAAAAGAAGCAGCCCTTGGCTGAATTCACCCTGCAGGGGGTAGCACTGGCTCGATCCAGCTCTCCTCACAGACCTTTAATAACCTTGAGCTCACTGCTGCAGAAATATGAGGAAGAGCCAGACGGAGACGAACATCCACCTCTGCATTTCACCAGCAGATGTGAACATGGTGTCTTGATCCCCTGGAATTGAACACTGACACAGCCTGGACTGAGAACAGTGCTACGGCCTGGCCTTTCAGCTCTCCCGAGATACTTCTCGTCAGCCTTGGGTCCAGTCTCGTGCCTCTTCTGATGCCGCACACTGCTCCTCACGCTGCATCTAACACGCCTGAACCCGCGGCAGTCGCCGATGGCTTCTGGGGTTTCACTGAAACTGGATTTCTAACAGAGGGTTGCCAATTTCTGCTTTCATTTACAATCCTCCCGTCTCCCCCTGAAGAGCTGCGGGCACTGTGGGCAGCCGGTCGCTGCCTTTCTGCACCCCTCCGCCATCCCACCCCGCTTCCAGAGAAGATAACCCCTCAGTCTGCATGGGGGTCCCCTGACTCCTCTCCCTGCGGCCCCTGGCACTGACTCCCAGCCCCGCGACATGCTGACCTCCCTACAATCGCCCCTAGGTCGTCGGGAGTCAATCCTCGTGACGCGAGAGCCGGCTCATTTCGCGACGGCCTGCTGCTCGGCCCTCGGCCCTCGGCCCTCGGCCCTCGACCCTCGGCCCTCGGCCCTCGGCCCTCGACCCTCGACCCTCGACCCTCGACCCTCGACCCTCGACCCTGCACAGGAAGAGTACGCACCAGTGATGGTCCCGGCATCGCGGTACTCCCGGTCGTCTGGGGCGCTATCCGGTACGGCTGCCTCGCTTACATAGTGCTCCTCCTGGGTGCCCGATCCACAGGCTGGCGCTGGGCGGGGGCTGGGCTCTGCAGGGCTCCGGGCGGCGGGCGCGGTGCTGTGGTGCACAGCCGTGGAGTCCAGCTTGGCAGCTTTCACAGGGAGGCACCCAGGGCCATGAGCGGGGCCAGAGGGCGGAGGGGTGGCCCAGGCTGTCCGGCGCTGCCAACGTCCTGCTGCGATCTGCACACGGAGAGGGACACAAGGATGACTCGAGCCCGCTGGCAGTACGAGCGCGAATAAGCCTTTCGCAGACCACACTCGGCCATGGGGCATGGCCGAGACGCGGGCCCGCTGTCAGCGCCTCATGGTTGCGTGCCGCACATGTGGAAAACGGGCAAGCAAGCACCGCTTATGCAAAACCAGAATCTGCATCTGGGTAAACGGCCGAGGGCACGGCTTGGGCTGGAAGTCACCTGCAGGACATTCCGCTGCAGACCGATAGCGCCCGCCCAGACGCAGACCGCCGTCGCGGGTCTCTGGAACGCACACCATTTCGAAGTCCTAGCACATACAGGCTGCACGGCTCAGAGCAGTTATAGATAGGAAAAAAAAGTGTGATTGAAGAAGATTAATGTTAGTGTGTATCTTTACGACGGCACTTTCAAACCTGATGTGCTTGATAATGACAACGTAAGACTGAGAAACCACATGGTGTTTGTATTAGGATATAAATATCAATTACCTCAAGGTTACAAGAGAGAAACCTTTTTGTGCATATTAAGACAAACCTACCAGCCTTGGATTAATTCCTGCTGTGGCAAAGCTAATTAATGTTTATACCCATAAATCACTGCAATGGCCTCTCTTAAAACCCACCTAACTGGGAAGGGTGTAGCTCCTTAAAGAGTACTGGATAGTACTAAGTGATCATTCCAGATGAAAATGAAGAGAGCAAGATTACTACAGATTACTCCATCTAACTGGAGAAGGCACACAAAGCGATTGATGCCAGAGGATTGCTTTTCAGGATAGGACAGAACAAAAAATAAGTATTTACTCTGAAACATGTGTACAGTCCTTCATAAAAGTAATTGTTCCAAATGCCAAAATGTTACACTTTTGGCTTATCAATAAAAACAAATTATTCAGATTAATGTTTCTATTAATTATGGAATTATCTTGAAATTTAGGCCGGCTGTATGCTAATGTAGAAAAACCTGACTCAAGGTTATGTCCACACAAACTCAAAAGTCTACCCTTTAACAGAACTGACAGTAAAATGATTCAGTATTTTCTTTTGATCATGTTATATTTTGATTCCCGGTTTAATTCAGCACCACAAATCAAAATGCTGAATTCTGTACAGTAACACAGCCAGCAAAGATAACTGAATTATTTTCACAGAGGCTTTGTCAACAACAGATATGAAACACGTGGACAGATCCGATGATTATATAATCCCATGCAGTACGAGGGTCTAGTTTATTTCATTCAGAAACCGGAGGAGGAGAGATCATTTTACTCGTACTATGTCTGTTGCATGGGCAGTGACGTGACGCACAAGCTGGAGATTGTGTGTGAATATAAATAAGGTTCATACGTGCAGGAACTCATGTCACATGCAGCAGAGGCATGGACCCCTCTCAGTGGACGTCTCCATGCTGATGAAGAAACACAAACTAGAATATTATGTATTGGATTAAATCTCTTTTAACACACACTGCCCAAATTTGGTGAACAAAAACGTGCTAATACATTATATAAGAAGGCAGGAGGGTTTAGGCATTACCTAAAACTGCTGAGGACGGAGCTGCAGCCTCTCACTGTAATTGTGATCAATACTAATTGGGATGAACTGGGTTCTGGCAGAGCAGCCAAATCACATCTTCCTTAAAAAAACTATATGACCCAAGGTTATTTCTGTTAAGGTTCTCTTAATTTGTGTAGATTTGTGTAGTGCAGAGTACATGAATAATTTGATATTGTAAAGAATAAATAACAGTAAAGCAAATAGTGCATAGCGTACCATTGCTATACATGTTGAGATTCATTATTCAATATTTCAAGCTTCGATGGGCCTTTTTTAAATATGATCATTTTTATCAACTCAATCTCAGTTGCTGTTAGCATGCATTTTTCTTGATCCCTTGAACCAACAGATAATGATCTAACCCTAAAGCGCCATAATGTGTATTATTTTACATATTTTCAAAAATAAATTTCTGTTTGTTCTTGGATTTCACAGAAGTGCAAACTGACAGCCAAACTATAAGTATAATAACAGGAAGACATGGTACAGAGGCTGATGATGGTGATGATGATGATGATTTATAGGAACCATAAATTAACTTATATGTCCCTGAACGCAGATTCTGTGGAGAAACTGACTTCAATAAGACTGTTCTAAGCTGTGATCTTACTTCCCTCTCAATGCTGAAGGATGAATAGTAGATATAATAAGCGTTACCTTGTACATTTACTCACTTTCAGGAAAAAAAAAACTGCAAAACTTAGAGAGTTACTAAATCCCTCATTGTGGGACATGGCACTCGAGACAATTACTCTCTGCACTAACGCCTCTGCTTTCACCAAAGCCAGCTTCTCAGCTCCAGGCCTTGGCAAGCTACAGCTTCTCCTTCTCTTTTGAGAAGTTTTGGACTGAATATTGCTGCTGGGCGGAAATGCTACTGTTCACATCCCCTCTGCGGAGCTGTCGCTGGGCTGAGGCATTCTGGGATACTGACCAGTGCCCCTCCCACACTGGTCTCCTTGGACGTGTCCAGTCACCTCAGGGGCAGGACCTCTCACTGACCTTGCTTCCTGCCCCCAGACTACGATTCTGCCACACTGCTAAGTTGTTTGTAAAAAAAACAGGCCAAACGAGATAAATGTTTTTTTCTTGCTCTTCCCCCCACCCACTCCCGCTTGAGTGAATAACGACTGAATATTTATAGGCTCATGGCTTTCTTCCTCCTGTGAAGGAGGTGCATTTTAGTCAAACATCTGAGAAGGTCTGACACTCTTTGGAGAACCTTTAACTGCCCAGCCAATGTTATTGAAAACACTGCCAGGGCAAGCACCAACTGTGACGGACAAATCTGGGCCGTATTCTACTGGACCTCTTTCACTGGGTCTCCGTTTCGGCCTGCGTTGCTCCTCCTTTCTAATATGTTCCGGAAATAATCAATCTCCCTTTATTATTGCACAAGACTCTAACGCACCAAGAACATGGCAGACCGTTACTTCTCAGACAGCTCTTCTCATAGGAACATGAGAAAGATTCCCATCGAAGGGGAAACCAGCCAGGCCATCTGACCCATCTGTGACAGTTTCTGCAAAAAAGCTTGCTCATTCTTCAGTGCCTTTGGAGACTTTAAATACTTGGAATCTCAGCACAGGAAGTTGCTTGAAGCCCTTTTTCTAGATTGATCCCAGAGCTGTTATTCATTTTTTTTTTAACATGGTGATGAAAAATGTACCGCAATATTCTAAATGTGGTCTTCCTAGAGCCACGGCCGATTTTATCAACCCTGGGTTTACATGTCCAAGGGCAGTCCGCTCTTTTTACTGTGGCTCCACATACTGCATCTTCAAGACGTAAATAATACATCGCCCTGGTCTCTTTCAAAAGAAGCTCATTCGAGCTGAGCATCTCACATTTTGTTTTCCAGTTGCTTTTGCTATCTGGATATAATCCTACGCACTTTCCTCACTCAAATGTCACCATTCAGGTGTTTGAATTGTAATCTCTTCATTCTTCTTTTCTTCTACGGTGTTTATTATCCTACTATTCTGGTATCATCTGCAAACTGGAATAACTTACCCAATATACCAGAATCTAGAACACTGATAAATATCAAGATCAACAGAAGCCCTCATAAAGATCCCTCTAGCATTTCAATAATTACTTCACCCCGATTTGATCATTCATCTCTTATGTATAATCTGTCGTCTATTAAACAATTCTCATCCAGCTCTTGCTCCCCCCCCCAATACCTACAGCTTATCTTTTCAATGCTAACACACCTAATTGTAAACTCAGTTTGTCCTGTGCTGGTGATCCTCGCTCAAGGAGCTCTAAGAGGCCAGATAAGCATGATGCCATGTTGACAATCCCCTAAAAAAGCGCAGCTCTCCTTTGACTAATTGAACCCTGGTCTCCTGTGTGATGAGAAATGTTGAGCAAAAGTCATTTCTTCCTGCCTTACCTCATTCAAGCATTCAATTACAAAAAGAGCAAACGATTAAGACTGCCAGCAGAGACAGCTGATATTTAGACACCGACACAATGAACTTGACTCAATGACTGGAGGTTAAAAGCCTCTGACCTTGAGTGACAGCCTGTATTCTCCACTTTGTACAACAGCTACTAACAAAGGTGACTGGATTTCTAATTCATGGATGAGAGGTGTCAGCTGTCGTCCTGCTATATTTAGCAGAAGTAAAGTGACATTGTGCCCTAGGTATGACAGTCATGCAGCACCAGCCCTGCACACATTCTCCCTTTGCAGTGTGAACCCAGCACAGCAAATGCAAGGACAACAGATAACTGGCATTACTTACTCTGTCCCTGGGTGGTGTGTGAAGCCACAACACAGCACCACATAACCAATTAGCAGCTGCTGTTTCTCACTGTTTGGGAGCTGCCACACAGGCCCAGGAGTCACATACACACTCAGGCACGCGTCCGTCTAAACACCCCGGTTCCTCCTAGCCTTCTGTGTCACGTGCCTGGCAGCTCTCCGCCGGTGTGTTGCAGAACACAGCCCTCCCCTGCGAGCAGGGTCCTCACCGGGCCTATAAATAGCACTCACACCATGCATGCTACTTGCCATGAGCTGCATTAGCTACAGTAGCAACTGCCCTGTCATCATCACCAGCATCGTGTTTTGGCCCATTAAACCTGCGCGCACTCTTGTTTACTGTATACACGAAGCACTGAAGGAAGAGCCACTGTATTTCCCCCCGGTGTCAGAGCTCCAGTGAAAGGTAAATAAACTGTGTAGCACAACAAGCGCCCCCAGCCATCTCCACCCCCCGCAACACGCCTCTGGATAGCAGGCCAGCGGGGCGGAAGCCACAGAGCCTCAAGGAGGTGTGCTCTGGAGCTCGGATGAGAAAGGCAGGATTCCCTGGCTGACCTGGGAGAGGTGGAGGGTCCGTGCCGTTTCACACTTTTACAGGCAACAGTAACCCAGCATACCCTCCACGTTTGCTCTGAGACGGCCAGCTTTTATTGT